TAAATGCCAACACTACATACAAACACACACCTACATTCACTTACATACTCCATACAAAAACATGCTTACATTCAAACACACAAGCACTGCTCAGTGCTAAATACATTAAAAACAGTTTGAATTTTTTTTCTTTACATTTTAAAGTTGGGGGAGGGGGGGAGAGGGTGCCAAATTTAGGATCCGCCCCAGGTGCCAAATGCTTTAGGTACGCACATGAGTGGTTATCTGGCTTTGTGCTACTTCCTGATTTGTGTTTCAAAGCTATAGTATACAGCAGACATATACTCTCAGGATCCATATATAAAGTGGAATAAATGTGGCAAAAAGGTGGTTCTTTGTTTAACTCATTTGCATATGACAACCAGAATCCCTTGAAGTAGTAACAGCGCTGCACATGTGAGATCTCTGTGAGAAAAGCAAGTCTAATGGCTTGACTGGCATGTGCAGATCTGTGTTTAACATTGTATTTACTATTCAAAACATATGTAAATCTGCAGTTCCCTTGCTATATCTCCAAAAGTGGAGTTTTGCAGTGGGTACCCTGTAGTAACTAAACCTTCTGAAATCTCTGTTATGCTTTTGCAAATTAATGCAAATACTTTAATACAAGGCAGACCAAAGGAGTGCAAGCCTTAGCATTTATGTGTCAGGTGGATTTAAAATTAATTTATCGAGGGACGTGTCATTATTACTATGATGGCAGACTACACATGGCATTGTGGTATATTCTGCAATGAGCTGCTCACCTCCTTGTCTTAAAGCTATCTATGTATCTATGATTCAGCAGACATTGTTAAGGCTAGAATTCACAATGGTTAACATGTGTCTAGTGTGTGATGAAAGTGACATTAATTTTCTTCATCAGTAAGCAAAACAGCTGAAGGATCAGATTATAATTGCTACTTCTATTCATATCTTCAATCATTTCATGATTGTAACTTAATTTCTAAACATACGTATGTGCTACTCATTAGTGGGCAATCCACTTGCTTAAAGGGGCACTAAAAGCACCCAGACCACTTCATCTCAGTAAAGTGGTCTGGGTGCAGTGAGCCTGCCGTTTTAACCCTCCAATGTAAAACACTGCCATTTTGCATTTTTTTCATTGCAGGGTTAAACATGTCTTCAATGGCAATCTTCCCATCTGCCACTAGAGGTACTTTCCCTGTGAGAACTGAGTCAGACTTGGTTCCAATCAAATGCTGCTCATAGAGAGTATTTGATTTACTCAGTACTGCGATTTTATGCAGTTTGCCATGCATGTAGCAGCCTCCTAATGCTTCCCTAAGAGGAGAGCTTCACTTCTGATGATGACACCAAGGGAGGAAAGGAGACAGTGCAGAGTCTACACCCTGTTCCAAATTATTATGCAAATAATATTTTTCTCATTTACCTAAATAATTGATGTAAATAACAGTCAGCATAATTCTCATGTTATCAACTATTAAGAGTACAATTCAAATTTTATTGAACAAACCTCCTAATGATAACAGTATTTTTTTTAAACATAAAAAAACTTACAATGCGCCGTTCCAAATTATTACACACAGTAAGTTTCAAAACACTTTATAGGTTGTAAAGAACTGAAAATTGTCATTTGTTGTGTTTGCAGCATATTTACTGAACTCAAAAGCTATTTCAATCAAACTTATAACAACATTTTAACTATTTAAACATTTTAACAGATCACGTTACATTTTAACATAGGACCCCTTATTTGATAGCAGCTTCACAAGTCTTGCATCCATTGAACTTGTGAGTTTTTGTACAGTTTCTGCTTGAATTTGTTTGCAAGATGTCAGAATAGCCTCACAGAGCTGCTGTTTGAATGTAAACTGCCTCCCACCCTCATAGATCTTTTGCTTGAGGATGTATCAAAGGTTCTCAATACGATTGAGGTCAGGGGAGAATGGAGGCCACACCATGACTTTCTCTCCTTTTATCCCCATAGCAGCCAGTGATGCAGAGGTATTCTTTGCAGCATGAGATGGTGCATTGTCATGCATGAAGATGATTTTATTACGGAAAGCATAGTTCTTCCTTCTGTACCAGGGAAGAAAGTGGTCAGTCAGAAACTCCACATACTTTGCAGAGGTGATCTTTACACCTTTGGGGACCCTAAAAGGGCCGACCAGCTCTCTTCCCATGATTCGAGCCCAAAACATGACTCCACCACCGCCTTGCTGATGTCGCAGCCTTGTTGGAACAGGGTGCTGTCCACCAACCATCCACTAGGCCATCCATCTGGACCATCCAGGGTTGCACGGCACTCATCAGTGAACAGGACTGTTTGAAAATTAGTCTTCATATATTTTTCTGCCCAATGCAGCCGTTTCTGCTTGTGAGCATTGGTTAGTGGTGGCTGAATAGAAAGTTTATGCACAGTTGCAAGACTGGAAGACTCTACACCTTAATGTCTGTGGGACTCCAGAGGCACCAGCAGCTTCAAATATCTGTTTGCTGCTATGTAATGGTATTTTAGCAGTTGCTCTCTTTATCCAATGCATGGATCTGGCAGAAATCTTACTCAATGTGTCTTTATCTGAACGAAGCCGTCTGTGCTCTGAATCAGCCACAAATCTCTTAATAGTGCGATGATCACGCTTAAGTTTTCGTGAAATATCTAATGTTTTCAAACCTCGTCCAAGGCATTGAACTATTTCACTCTTTTTGGCAGCAGAGAGATCATTTTTCTTCCCCATATTGCATGAAAATGGTGCTCTGCTTAATAATGTGGAACACCCTCCTTTAGTAGTTTTTCCTTAAATTGGGCTCACCTGGCAATCTAATTATCACAGGTGTCCAAGATTGTTTTCAGTGATCAAAAGAGTCCTGAAACACAATGCCATCCATGAGTTAAACTGAAAAACAAAATATTTAATCTTTGTGACACTTAAATAGAATTTGCATAATAATTTGGAATAGGGTGTATAGAAGTAAGGCCTGAATGTATAACAACATAGTTAGTAGGACACTAAAGTGTTAAGAAATACATGTTTATTTTCCCAACACTATAGTGTTCCTTTAAGGATTATTTTATGATCCTTAAATTCTCATAGAATCACATAGACTCAGTTAGTTTGGAGCTTTCCACTCTCTTCCTCCTCCAGGGGAAGAACATTTTGCATTTCTGGGAATTAAAACCCCTATGCTTATCATACAGGACAGAACTATCTTAAAATGGGGGAGTAAACCTAAAAAGTAAGCAAAATCAGGCAGATGATTGGTCTGGGTTGAGTTTAGCACCAGCTCTCCTCTACATACATTTTATTTATTTGAAACAACTAGCGCCATCTAGAGTGAGAAGCAATCCACCCTAATTGAAAAACACACACTCCCTATAGCTGGCAGCTTTCCTATGTCTCTTTCTGAACTTTACAATTTTGGGAAATGGTCATGAAATTAGTAATTATGTGTAACTTCACCATGAAAATATTTGAAATATTTGACTGTGTGACTGTTCAATAAAAACACATGTGCTCTAGTCTTGGGAAAATGCGCAAGGCAGAGGAGTTTATAATGTGCCCAGAAATGCATGTTACATCTAAATAAATAGTTTTCTAGCACTTATTCAAATAATGCACTCCATCTAGACGAGTATTGTATGACGAAGACCAAAAAAACACCTCCTGGGTAATTTATAAATATTACAAATAAAATAACCATATAATTCCAGTTAATATTGGGTTACACAAACACTGCTGCATAATCACTGTTTAAGCTGTGTGAAAGCTGTGTCATCAAAACACCTAAAGGGTTATTTACTAAAGTGAGAATTTTAAATTAATTTCAAATTTTAGGCTTGAATAACCCAACTAAATGAATAGCTGAATTTCTCTAATTTGGCTAGTTTGACTTAAAATTGGAAATTTACTTTAAATTCTCACTTTAGTTAATAATCCTGCAAATATTTACTATAAATAAGAACTTGCTAAAGACAATGGAATCAGCTGGAATTATTCACTCTAGTGGGAATTGCATTGGATATCTAAAAACATTGATCATTTTGAATAAATATTTTGGAGATGGAAAAAGAAAACGATGGAAAAATACATTTTCAGAATTTGGTATATGTTTTTCATTCACATCAATCTGCATACATTTGCAGTTGGAAATGCGAGCATGTTACAGTATAGTCTAGTACACAATAGTATTGCAGTATTACAATGCAAGAAGGGCAATTGCAGGTGCAGTAAAGTAATTGCAGAACTTAAAAAAATGCATCAATAAAAGTAAAATCATCAATTTGCATACAGTTGCAGTTAAGAATGTAAACATATACTCTGAGCTGATACTCATACTTAAATAATAATAGTAGTAGGCATCGTGGTGTCATTACAGAGTAATTAATTAAGGATTAAGAAATGAACAGAGACATGTTTTACATAGTTTATAAACAGGTTTGCATAGTAATCCTTCTGAGCATGTTTGATACATGGTATGTGGGTGTTCCCCTATTCTTTTGTATAGCACATCGGTTGCTCGTTAGCAGATAGGCTGTAGTGGAGGATAGTAGGGATCAAGAAGTAATATAGTAATAGTTATCAATTACAAGTTACACGTTAATGGAGGAGGCAATCCTGGGCTTTTTAGTGGTGTGTAGTGTATTCCCTCCGCCTGTGTTGGCATTGGTGGAGGGTCTGATGTTGGAGGGTTGAGTGTTCGATGAGTGTAGATTATTTCTGGCGATATTGGTGGAAGAGGGTGAGGGGAAGAGGGGAAGATGGGTAATAGAGGTGAAGAGAATAAGGGTACGGGAGGTGAGAGAGTGAGAAAAAAAGAGGGGAGGAGAGGATAAGTAGTGGGTCGGTCGGTGAATGAATGTTGTCCACCCCCCCACCCATCTGCCTTGCCGCCACCAGCAGCACTCTGCATCGCTCATCCAGTGAAGGGGGACCCCTTCTGATTTCAGTCTTGTATGATCTTATAGAGACTGAGGTGTATTTATCTGGTTGTCAGCCAGCAGATCCAATGAAACCAGGTCTTCTGGTACATTTGACTTCTGCCATCTGCTGTCATGATAAGGTCTTCTATGTTCCTTATGTCCCCCACTCGATTAATCCAGTCATCGGTGGAGGGGGCTGTGGCCTGTTTCCAGTACGTCGGGATAAGGCTACGTGCCTCATTGATCAGATACAGAGTAATGGTCTTCTTATACGTAGCCAGGGAAAGAGGTGTTAGATGGAGCAGGTAGTTTTCTGGAGAGAGCTTGACCGAATTGTCTGTGAGTGTGGACACTACCCAGTGTACCCCCTTCCAGAAGGGCTGGATCCGGGGGCAGGTCCACCAGATGTGGAACAATGTGACCAGGTCAGTGCCACATCTCCAGCACTTCAGTGCACACAAGTTGTGCATGGATACAAGTTTCCCAGGGGTTTTATACCAGTGGGATATCATTTTGTAATGGGACTCTTGGTACCTTGTACTAATGGAGGCTTTGTGCATCAGCGTGTATGTATTGATCCATTGTTCTTTGGTCAATGGGTGACCGAGGTCCCTCTCTCAGGGTCTGACAAAATAGGGGAGATTGTGATCTCCCAGTGGTGTGTTCAGAAGGCTATATAGCAGTGAGATGGCATGCTGTGGGGGTGCAGTTTGGGTGCATATTACCTCAAATGTGGTTAGTGGTCTCGTCGCTGAGAGTAGGTTTGATATTTGTTTGAGCAGGCATACTAGCTGGTGGTATCTGATGTTTGTCATCAAGTCTGGAGGTTCAGGTGTAGCCAGTTCTGATATTGGTATGATGGTACCATTTGCTATCACATGCTGGAGTCTGCAGAGTGATGGCAGTCCCAGGCAGGCCCTGACTCAGTTGGAGTTGATGATGCGGAACGACTAGTTGCCTGTGATGGGGTACAGGGGTGAGACAGATGGTGACAGGTCTGGTCTGGCTGATATCCTCCTCCAGAAATTTAGGGTAGTAGCTATTGTGGGGTGGCCCCTCTCCAGTCCGCTCTCCGTTCGCGGGGGCTGCCAAGTAAGTGTGTGTAGCGGCAGTGCCGAAAAGCTGGCTTCTATGGCAATCCAAAGTTTGTCCTTTGGTGCTAGGGACCACTCGGCAAGTGCTCTAGGTAGATAGCTTGTTGGTATTTGACCAGGTCAGGGAGTCCCAGGCCGCCTTGTGTTTCGGGTTTTATTAGAATGTCATATTTTATCCTGGCTGACAGGTTCCACCAGACGTATCTTGTGAAAGCTCTGTGTATCTGAGTGAAAAAGGTCTGGGTAACGAAAACCGGGAGCATCTGTAGTAAATAGAGAAAGTGGGGAGTGAAGAACATTCACTCTGCCGAGCCAGGTGATATGTGGCACTGACCATTCCTCCAGATTCTTAAGTACGCACTCTAAAAGGGGAGGGAAGTTGTGTCTGAATGTATGAGAAACGTCTGCAGTGATCCAGATGCCTAGGTGAAGATTGTGGGTTTTGTCACGTCGCCTGTCCACGTGGTGATGGGAATGCCCCCAATGACTCACCCATGGTGGTGGCTCCTCCTCTCAGCGGCCGGGTCTGTAATGATTAAAGACGCCGGCTGCTGCAACTGTAATTAACTTAAGAGTTTCCTGTTTAACCCTTAAAGGGCCAGACAATTAATTATCATGTTACACACAAACCCATGATCACATGTTTCCCTACAGCCTATCAGGGAACATCCTAAGCTATTTAAACCTATTTTGTCCATTTCTCTGTGCCCTGTCGTGGTTTCAATTTGGTTATCCGAGAGCGCTTTCCTTGTATTGATTCTAGTGTATTGACCTTGGCTTCCCTTTTGACTATCCGATCTCTGTATTCCTTGACCTTTGGCTTGGCTCCTGACTATTCTGATTTCTCCATTTCTTGACCCGTGGCTTGTTTATCGTTACGTTATTTCTACGTTTTGTCTTTTCCCTGTCTTGTGGCTATTTACCTTTATACATTAAATCCGGCCATTCTAAGGCCCGATAATACGTCTTAGGTATTTTTTTATTCTACTTTAGTTCTGTGTGTTGGGCCTCTCTAGTAATCCTGACAGTTCTGAATTGTGAATTGTAAGTCTGCAGCATAGGCGGAGATCTGGACATAGAAGGTGCGTCGTCTCCAGCTCCCGGTTCACCCTCTTTGAATGTGAGGGAGGAGACGGTACAAAAAAAAATGGGTAGTTTGCCTCTGGAGAGAAGGGTTACCAGGGAGAACGTTCCCAGCAACTTTGTCCAGTAGTGTGGCAATAAACCCATGGGGGTGTGGGTGGTGTGTCTCAGATCAAGGGTACTAGTTTGGTGTTTTGACTGTTACTACAAGTAATGGTGTCGTCTGAGCCCTACTGCCAATGAGCAAGGATATAGTAAAAACAACAAAAACAGAGCATCAAGTCAACTTTAACAACATTTTCAACAGTTTTCAATGACTCGTTAAAGGACCACTATAGTGCCAGGAAAACATACTCGTTTTCCTGGCTCTATAAGGTTCTTGGGTCCCCCTCACCCTTTGGACCCCCCTCCCGCCGGGCTCTAGGGTGAGGACGGGGTTAATCCCTTGGGACTCTCCTCCTCCTTTTCTCGTCATCAGCTGAATGCGCATGCACGGCAAGAGCCGCGCGCGCATTCAGCCAGTCCTTAGGAAAGCATTCTCAATGCTTTCCTATGAATGCTGGGGTCTTCTCACTGTGAAAATCACAGTGAGAAGCATGGAAGCTCCTCTAGCAGCTGTCAATTAGACAGCCACTAGAGGCTGGATTAACCCATTTGTAAATATAGCTGTTAATCCTAGTTCGACCTGGCACCCAGACCACTTAATTAAGCTGAAGTGGTCTGGGTGCCTATGTATCCCAAGTTGTACCTACAATTGAAGAACCTATTTAAACCCTCTTTCCTTTATGCTTTTGTCTTGTTTGTATTAATTATTAGCAGTTGCTTGATAATTTGGTATATTTTACCTAAAGAATTGCATTTTGTTTGTCAATTCTCAACACCCCCAGCGACGATAATAGTGCCACAGAGTCTTAATGCTTTATAGGGGAATGAATCCCACAACATATTTACCTTTAGGCTGACTAGATCTTGGGCCTGGGTGAAAGATCAAAAAGGATGTGTATATGTTTCATTCTTGCATAGTTACTTCTGATTTCAAATATCCCTTCTAAAGTATGTAGTTTCTGCCATTCTCTATCACAGATGCTTATCATTTTGGTGTGTCAGGGTATTTATATCGGCAGACATTTTGTGCTATGATAGAAACTAAAAGTGTATATTCTGAGTCACTCTGAACAGACCAGACTCCATTTTGTTATTCCAAGTTAACAAAAACAAAGAGACACAGGATTTCTTTCTGTAAGACTGGCCTCTTTGCCAGAGCTAAGGAATGCATAGCATAGTATAAACAAGTGATAAGAAGAATATAATCAAATCTAAACCCAGACAATTGTGACAGAGAAGATTAAATTTAATATTTAACTGTCTATATATATATAAGGTACCATTGTATGGAAAAGGGTAAACTTAGTTCATGATCTGTCATATCAGAAATTATGGCAGGAATTGCAGACGCTAAGTCTGGACAAAATTTAAGAAACCCTTTGAAATTTTAAATTATGGCGCTATAAAGATAACGCAAAATGACGTCAAAATAGCCACCAGGAAAAGTTAACTCTTTCCTGGATAGGTATGTTTAGTGGGACAAGACTGCCCTCTATAGACCAAATAACTAATTTGCGATCTGGAAGATAACCACACCTCTAGTGCTTCTATTGGGTTATCAACTGATGACGTACAGAGAGTCTGGCCCTTTAAAAGTTAAGACAAAGGGAAGACAGGGAGGCAGATCCAGGAGATATGCAAAGAAAAAGAGGAGAGAGGAATTGGAAGTTTGGGGACTCCAACCTCCATGCAGAGAGACATCCAAATAAGTTCCTGAGACTACCAATCGGATGAAATATCTACTCAACTGGTAATTATACTGGTTTCATTTAATTAATTAAATTAATTAAAATGTATTAATAGCATTATATATGACTGGATAAAGCACGGTCAGATTTCCATATTAAGAAATCTTAGTTAACTAAAGAATATATAGTTATAAACATTCCATTCTGCAGGTGGAATTAAGAATAATTATATATTGATGTGATATTATCACGTGTTAGCATACCGCTGTTTTTATCCAGGTGTATTGATTTGCTCTAAATTAAGATAGATATCTTTTAGACAAATTAAAAATCTTCTTATATAATATGTTAGATTCTCTTATTGGATGTTTTCAGGAAATGACTAATGAACTGGTTTAAATGTTATTTTATTTAAAAATGACATAAGAATAGATCTTAACTACCTAGGAGATCTAGCCAGCATTGAAAGGGTTATTCTAACTGTCTGCTAAACTTTACGACCTTACGCTGCACTCTGAGGAATTCTGTTCTTCGCTGTGAAAAGTTTCACTTAAGTCTGTGTTAAGGATACCTCATAAATCGTCAGAATTCTTGACAGAAAATGCTAGTTAGCCATTGAAACGTAATACCCATTTCTTTGTATTGCATATCATTTTATACTGAATATTCATTGATTATTGTTATGCATGTTACATATATTATTATTAATTAATTTGTCATATAAATAAAAATCTATTTTTATACATTGTGATATTAATTATATGAAATACATTCCACTTAACACGATAAACGTTCTTTGGGATCTGAGAATTGAATTAGTGGGCAATTCTCACTGTTACTATTATTATCCCATAAATATCCCCACAGGTGTACCCCCTTAAAATCAGTATGTTGCAATGAGCATCACACAGTGTTAATTACCACCACAACTCCATCCAAAGTGGTGCAAAAAGGGAAAGAGGTACAAATGGAGTGTTCTATTGGTTTACATGGTGATTACTTTTAGTATTTTAGACCACGTTTTAGAACCAAATAGTTTGATACATTTTTCCAGGATTTGTGTTTGTATCTGTGCATTTGTGTTAGTGTACGGATCTATGAATGTCTGTCAATCTGTGTGTGTCTGTGCATTTGTGTCAGTGTGTGAATCTGTGCATGTGGATCAATCTGTATCTTTGTGTGGATCTGTGCCAGTGTGACAGTGTGTCTGTGCATGTTTTTCAATCTGAGTGTGTTTATGTGTATACATATTGGAATGTTTCTGTGTGCATGTGTCTGTTTGCATCTCTGTATGGCAGTGTATATGTGTGTATCTGAATGTTGAAATGTTTGTGTATTTCTGTGATTGTGTGACAACATGTGTCCATATGTGACTGTGCTCCTACATGCATACACCAACATTACACACAA